GAGAGAGAGAGAGAGAGAGAGAGAGAGAGAGAGAGAGAGAGAGAGAGAAATAGAGATAAAGAGAGAGAGAGAGAGAGAGAGAGAGGAACTAAAAGGAAAATTTTACATAATGAAAGAAAGATACCCAAAATACAAGGGACTAAGTCTATTTATAGTCCCACCACAAACACACACTAAAAATACACATGTTTAATGAAAACAACACTTCATTAGGTCTTAAAACTAGGTTTGCTGTGAATTTTTGTTTAGGCTAGTCGAGGTTCATGTGGTCGGCAATGAAGGCTCGCTGTGAGTGTGGCAGGATCGTGTGGAGCTAGCACGAATGCTGGGTTGCGAAATGAGGTTCACAGCGAATAGCATGAGACACTAGGGTGAGGCTCACGCGCTTGAAGACAGGCATGTCGTGCAAGCATGAACGAAACTCGCGTGCAGGGTATGGACAATCGTGACCTGTGCGAGCATTTTTGCGAGCGCGAGGTGGCAGCACGCTGCGCAACACTCGCAGGAAGCAGGTCGCGCGAGGTCGTTCTAAGTATGTGCTCGTGAACAACACGACATTCGCGTGCAGGGGCGGCATTCGTGACCTGGAAAAGCATTTTCGCAGGCTAGGGCGAGGTCACGAGTGTTGGCAATTGCGCGAGGTGTGCTGGTCATGCACGGTATCGTCGAGTGCTAGCAGGCATCATTCACAGGCATTGCAGACACGTCATGCGCGGGGCATGTGGGCGTTGGGACGTTTACGGGGCATTGCGTGGGTTGACTCGACTGTCTGCAGGAGTCGTGCATGAATCCCCAGCAATGGTAGGGCATAGGTGGCGCATGAGCGAGGGACTGGCCTGGGACGCATGGGTTGCGGGTTCCACTGAGTGCTGACCGGGTCGACTGGTCGGGAACTTTCCGATAACTTTTTCGGTATGTTTTTGGGCTATTTTCCGACGAGTCTCTAGAATGCATTTTTCTATAAAATAAAGGATAAAAGAGAAATAAAAAGCACAAATAGATACAAAAGAGAGAAGGAAAATATTTTTTTATTTATTTTGCTTGCCTAGCAACAAAATTTTCAATGATACATAGTTTGTCGAACACTTGGCATACTAAATATTTTACAATATTCCTTTCGGCATTCAATTTGAAACTCAGTATCTTGAAGATGACCTACAAAACAAATTCAAAACAACAAAGCAAAATTTTATGTTCGAAAACAAGGGAACAAAATATCATAAAGCCTACAGTGTTAGGACATTGAATCCAGTTCCTAAAAACCAATACATGAAGTGATGGGTCACTGCCTCGATCTAGGTAGAATCGGTTGAGAAGAGTTCTGATCTGCTTGAACTGCCTCGGGAGACCTATAAGAATCTTGGCGTCGGGCCTCCGATGCTTAAGTCAGCACAAGTAAGAAGATTAAGCTTTGTAATCTAGAGCTGTGATGTATATAGAAGTGTGTAGAAAGTGGAGAGAGCTTAGGGTTGTACCTCAATCTCCCTTTTATAGTGGAAATACCTGCTCGAACTGCCCAAAATGCCCTAGGTCAGTCCGCCTAAACTGCCCGAGTTTTGATCTTATTTGTATCTTAAGCACATATGAGTCATCATTAGATTCTTTCTTATCCATTTACTGCCTCTAGATCGTGCTCTTGTAGTCATAGTGAACTCAAACTTTCTGCAGACCTCTAGTCACAGAGACCTCTTAGTATCGAAGACCTCTAGTCACAGAGACCTCTAATAGCAGAGACGTCTAATCACAGAGACCTCTAGTAGCCGGGACCTCTAGTTAGAGAGGACCTCTAGTCACAGAGACCTTTAGAAGTGGGGACCTCTAGTCACAGAGACCTCTAGTACCGGAGACCTCTAGTAGTGGGGACCTCTAGTCACAGAGACCTCTAGTAGCGGAGACCTCTAGTCTCGAGCAGACACCTTGACCTCATCATACTTAGTTAGTACGATCCCATCAATTCAGCATCAACATACAGTACCAACAAATTAACTGAGAATACACCAACTTTTCAAATATTAAACATAAATTCAACACTTACTGAAATTTCAAGAGTTTCGATTTCCTTTGCCTTTTTCCTTTTCTCCTTTTCCTTCTTCTTCTTCTCTTCAAATCTATCACTATTTCAGAAACAGCATCTTCCCGGGGATCCTTTTTAACTGCTCGTTGCATGGCTTTCTGAATAATTCTCAAGCTGAAGTCCTTGTTCGCCTCGTCGTCGCTGTCGATAGCTTCAACGAGCTTTTCTCTATCTTCTATCTTCCTCTTACGAGGAATGTTCCGGCGCCTTGACCTTCTTCTCTCTTTTCTCCATGTCGCAACCAATCGTCGTTGCGATAAATCGAAGGAGAGAGAAATTAGAGAGATTCACAAGAGGGCGACAAGTAAACAAACTCTAACCTTAATTTGAAAGAGGGAAAAGGAAAGGAGTTATAGTTGAAATTAATTGGGCCCTCATAAATACACACTAGGTGCTCTTAATACATTTGGGATTTGTAATTATTATGCATTAACCCATGGGCTGGGCCTTGTATGGTTTCAGTCCCAAAAAAACTATTTTGTAGTTATTTTAAGGAACAACTTTGAATATATATAAGGAAAAATGTTCTTTTCAATATGCCACTATCATATACATATGAGAGGATTACATTTTTTTTATTTTTTTTTTTTATCGTTTATAGTAGA